TGGGGGGGGGGATTGCCACCTTAGGTCCCAAAGCTAACCCAGGGCCCCTATACTGTAGCTTGGTGGTGAAGAACAGGTTATGGGAAAAGATGGTGTTAGCAGCCTTCTCTCCTTAGCTGCTATCCCATCAATCCCCCTTGAGTTTCTGAGGGCTGTGCGAGCCACTTATATTGCACAATTTGTTAACTGCTCTTGATGCTTCACTTTTTTTTATGCTACTGGATTTGGTATCTCAATGGATTGGCTATATCGGTTTCCAGTGGTGGAACTGCTGTGTATCTAGTGTTGAAGTAGTTGCTTTCACCTAGCTACATGTGTTGGGTGCTCAGGTGTATACCAGCTCTAGAACTTGGAAGTATATACAAATAACTAGCTCCTTGTGATTAATGGCTTTTCCCAAGCATAAAAGTTATAATGAAGTTTCATTATGTTATAACTTGAAAGCAGTAATTCCATTGCACCCCTCGTTTCGCGCTCTTCCCCCCCCACACACATCAGCCCGCTCTGCATACAGCTTGATTTTGATTTCGGAACCCCGAAGCGGAGCAGGAGGCGGGGGTGGGGTTAGGTAGTTACCTGCCGTCAAGTCGGAAGAGAGTAGACCTCTAGCGACTCCGGGGGGGGGGCTTTCAAGGTAAGTGAGATATTTAAGGAGTGCCTTTACCACTTCCACTCCCCAAGTTTCCCTGGCTGAGCGGGGATTCGAACCAAGGGTTGTTGAGTCCTAGACTGTACTGAGGATGGGTCACCCGGCCAGATAAGAATCTGGGGGGGGGTCCCCGGAAGCATTTTTCCAGTTCCGGGGGGGTAGCTTTAAGGCAAGAGGAGATGCGATCAGAATTTTAAAATACTTTCCCAAGGTCCTGACGTGCGGGGGGGGGGCAGGAGCACTTCATCCCTTCTCTGAGGCCTCTGCTTCCACCCGTCCGTCGCCCCCCCCCCGCCAATTCCATGCTCTGCTTTCAGCGTCCCTGGCTTCTTCAGCGCGCCGGGGAGGGGTCTGCCTGCCGGAAACCCCGCCGTGAGCCCCACCTGCCCCTCAAGGACCGAAGACTCCTCCAAGCCCGCTGCCTCTGTCTCTCTGGGGGGACCCTCTTCCGGACCATTGCGAGGGGCTCTCTCGCTCCCCCTCTTCCTGCCCCCCCTCCCGATCTAGAACTTAATGGGGCAAACGGCGTTCCAGCGCCAAAGCCACTCTCTTTGCCCAGGGGGCACAATCATCCTCTACTGGAATGCGCTGGAATGAGGCAGCCGGTGGGGTCAGGGAGCTTCCCCCACCCCCTACCTGTGCTGGAGGGCAAGAGGGGGAAGCGCAGCTTCTTCCCCATTCAGCCCCCCCGCCCCCCAAGCTATGGAAAGCCAGCCAAATAATATTTATTTCCTAAGTGTTGTATTTTGGCAGCTGGGGAGGTGGAGATATGGGTGGGATCCATTGATTAAGTGGGCGCCTTGGGGCTGACTGGAGAGTAGGAAGGGGGTGGGGAGAGGGTCCAATTGGCTTCTGTGCCTCAGGGAGCAAAATACCTTGAGTCGGGCATCCTATGATTTCATAGTAAAAGGAAGAATCCATAATAGGGGTGGTGCCAACATACTCAGGATTTGCTCTGATTTCTTTGCCATCCTGGTATAAGAGGGTTCTCTGCAAGGCCACCCCCTCCCCACCGGGTCCCTGCCGTCTTCAGACCCTGCAGCTCCATCCATGGCCATCCTCGCTTGCAGGTAGCCGCCCGCAAAGGATCTCTGGCATGTTCAAGGGCAGCACAGGGGCTGGCCCCAGTTGGATGAGCCAGGATGCTAGTGGGTGGAGGGGGGGAGGGAAGAAATCTTCTCCATTTGGGTGAAGACCAGAGAGGTGGCCCCCAGGGTTTCCGAAAGGGTTTCTGGGCAGCAAAGCAGCATCTGCCCGTGGGCCAGCAGCTCCTGGCTCCCCGTTTGCTCAGAGTACGACCTTGCCCATATATGCCAACCTGGCTAGTTGTGACTTGGCTGTGGACTGGAGCTTCCACCTAGCTGTACGTGCCAGAACAGGAAACTGGCTGGGGGGTTGGTAGAGAAGGCTGCATCACACACCACACATCCCTTCTGACCTCTCTGCCCACCCCTGGACGGCTGCAGCTGCTTTTCTCTTGGCAACTTCTTGGGACCTGCTTCCTTGCCTGGCTTCCTTGCCCAGGGTTGGGAGAAGGGGGTGGGGGTACCATAAGACCCGTGAGCTTCCCCTGACCCCAACCTCCTCCTTTGTCCCTGGAGTATACAGACGGATGCCTGAGGAAGTGGACTTGTCCATGAAAGCTCACATTAAAAAATATTAAAGTTACTCTTTGAGGTGCCACCATGTTTTTGTCTCTTTAAAAAAAACAACTCTTTGTTTTTATTTTATTTTAACACTTGCACAGACCAACACAGCTACCCCTTCTGGAAACCAGACAATGTTTGCGGAAGTGCAGCAAACAGCCTTGCATTGAGGCCACCAGGACAGAACTCAGCAGAGGTTTGGCCTGGACGGTGTCCCCGCCCCCCCTCCGATGTTGGGCTTCTGCAGTCTTGCTCAGCCGGAGCACCCAAGCCTAGGTTTCCTCCAGATTGTGTTTCTTGGGACAATGAATATGCTCCTTTCTCTCACCTGGCCCAGCCACCCCTGTGATTCCTCATTCCTCCACAGCCCTAAGCTCACTTCGCCAGTCTGGTGCGCTCGGCTGACATAATTACTGGAAATCCCCACATATGTCGAGCTGTTATTGCCACTTGTGGTGGCTGCTGGCTTCACAATATTGAGTCCAACTTGACACATTCTGATTTTTGCACAAGTGGAATTCTGAAGAAAGAAACCAGCACGAGCGCCTGAAATAGTTTGGAACGTTCTTTTAAAAACCTCAGAACTGCGAATGTACAAGAAAACGCAGCTGCAAAAAAAAAGTCGGGATGCAGCGCCGGGAGGGAATGTGAAGCCGAGGGGAAAGGAAAG